ATTTCCCTCTCACGTTTGCCATTTCTTTTGCCCTGCTGAGTTTACTGATCAGCTTCCCTGCTTTCTTGGGCTGTAGCAACACAGGTGGAGATCGTGCCCCCAAGGCAAGGAATACAGACACAGGCACAGGGCTTGCTCTGAAAGGTGATGTTCCATCAGTACCTATCAGTCAGTCAGAAGCTTCAGTTTGAAGAAAGTCAGTTTTGAGACTCTCACCAGACTGCAGCATCCAATCCTGCTGAATCCACTGCATTTCCTGCTTTCTGAACAGCTGGAAGCCATGGCTGGCCAACTGCCACTTTGCTATGCAATCAAGGGTCCTTTCCAACAGCACTGCTCTCGTGCAACTATGACTGCTTTCAGAACTGCCTGCCCATTCACACCAATACATTCTTTTAGCTCTGCTATAACCACTTTGCTAACTGCTGACATGCCTACCCAAAGAATCATAGAATCTTTAAGAGCTGGATCTCAGCCTTCTCCTGGTCTGCTGTCACCAGCCTGCCTGTGTCACCCAATAGGAGAGGACGCCTTCCTGGACTTCCTTGTTCCGGCTGAGGCACCTGTAGAAGTTTCTCTCACTCTTTTTGGCATCCCTTGCCAAGTTCAGTTCAAGCTGGGCCTTGGCTTTCCACCCTTACACAGCCTAGCAGCTTCCTCATATTCTTTCCACCACACCTGTCCTTGTTTCCACTGCCTGTACGTTTTCTTACTGCTCTTCATTTCGACCAGCAGGTCCCAGTTCAGCCATGCTGGTCTCCTGCCTCCCTTTCCTGACTTGTTACACCTGGGGACGGAGAGCTCCTGCGCCCTGAAGAAAGCCTCCTTACAGACCTGCCAGCTCTTGCCCTTACCCACCATCCTTGCCCACGAAGACAGTTTCCCAGGGTGTTGTGTTGACTCACTCCTTGAGGACCTGGAATTGAGCTTTCCTAAAGTTTAGCTTCCCGATTTTACCCTCTGGAGCGTGAACTCAACCAAAGCACAGTCACTGCAGCCCAGGCAGCCTCCAATCCTGATGTCACCATTTACAATGGTGAGCAACTGGTCCAGCTCTGCAACCCCCTGGTTGGGAGAGGCTGTTCTCAGTGCCCCCCAGGAGCCTCCTGGATTGCCTGCTGCTCTGCTTTTCCAGCAGATGCCTGGGTGATTCAAGACCCTCCCAGCAGGATGAATGCTTGCAATTGTGATGCCTCCCACAGCTGGAGGGTTTACCGTGATGGTGGTGAGGCGCTGGAACAGGCTGCCTAGGGATGTGGTTGATGCCCCATCCCCAGGGACTTCCAAGGTGAGGCTGGATCAGGCCTTAGCAATCTGATCTAGCTGTGGCGTCCCTGTTCACTGCAGGGGAATTGGACTAGACGGCCTTCAGAGGTCCTTTCCAACTCTCAGGATTCTGTGATTCCACGATTTAAAGAATTTCTTCCTAATGTCTGTCTAAATCTATTCCCTTCCAGTCTAAAGCTGTTTCTCCTCATCCTGTCACTACGTGCCCTTATAAAAAGTCCCTCCCCAGCTTTTCTGTAGGCCCCTTCAGGTACTGGAAGGTGCTATAAAGGTCTCCTCGGAGCCTTCTCCAGGCTGAAGAGCCTCTCTCAGCACATCCCCATAGGGGAGGGGCTCCAGCCCTCTGGTCATCTCTGCAGCCCTCCTCTGGACCTCCCCCCCCAACAGCTGCATTTCCTTCTTTGTTGGAGGCCCCAGAACTGGACGCGGTGCTCCAGGTGCAGTTTCACAAGAGCTGAGCAGGGGGGCAGAATCACCTCCCTTGCCCTGCTGGTCACACTCCTCTTGGTGCAGCTCAGGGTACAGATGGCCCTCAGGGCTGCAAGTGCACACTGCTGGTTCACGTTGAATCTTTCATCCACCGACGCACCCAAATCCTTCTCCTCAGATGCTCACAAGTGTCCTGGGCAAGTTTTACATGTGGAGTCTCGGAATCAGACTGACCAAGGCCAAGAGCCTCCACTCAAACTAGCGAGGACAACTGGCTGGAAGAGCACACGTGCTTCTTTCTAGTAGAGGGACAATAACCACCCACCTCCCTCGGTGGCTCCGGCCTGTGTCTTACCTGTGCTGTGATCTTTGCTGTCGCAGCTGCAGCAGCAACAGCTGCTGCTGGAGGCAACCCCCCTGGTGTGGCAGGTGTCAGGAGAGGCATCGGAGGAGTCACAGCTTTACCAACTCGGAGATACTGACCCCCAAGGTCAAAGAGGTTCATGGAGGAGACAGCATCTTGAGAAGACTGCGCCTTCTCATATTCTGCAACGAGAAGGAGGAATATTTAACTTCCGAATTCAACACTCTCACTGCACAGATGTGATTCGTATTTGTGAAAAACAGAAAACAAGCAAAAATGACTTGAGAGCTCCAGCAAGAAGTCCCTCATTGCTTAGCCTGCTCAATTCAGCCCTCTGATTGCAGAGGTGTTGAGAACAGTAGATGCAGTAAGACCACTTAATCCACGTAAATACTGAGTGAAAACATGAGACTACTCATTGCATTTCTAAATACAGGTGCTTATCTGCTCCAAATTTGTCCCACTGCTTCAAGTAATTCTTGCACTGAATTAAGATCGGTGAGGACGATCCCAGCAACTTCCTTTACCCCAGAGCAAATATCAGAGAGCCATTTTACCAATGAAACCATAGCCTTTGTGTTTCCCTGTTGTGGGATCCCTGGCTAGCGTGCAGGATTTGATCTTTCCAAAGGCCTCAAACACACTCTTGATGTCATCATCTGACAGGTCCTGATGTACTGAAGCCACGTAGATGCGGTTGAAAGCCCGTGCCTCTTCTGCCAGTTGGTCTATGATGGGCTGTGCCTGTCCTATGTTGCTCGGCCTCCCCACCTGCAGAGAACACAGCAGGCTGTGATGCAGTCTGAAGGGCAGCAGCACGACTTGCTGAGACACAGCAGGCAAGCACTGCAACAACCACTTCAAAGCACACAACCCCTCACAATGCCAGCAAAGGGCAACAGCTGGCTCTCAGCTCTGGGACACAACCTGCACCACGATTCCTCAAGTGTGAATGGCCTGCACTGAGCGCCCTCCCTCCCACCACGGCTTCCCTCAAGCTAAGCAGTTTCATTCCCTGACCTGCAGAAGAGCAACTTCCAGGATGCAAAAACAACCCCAGAAGCAAAACGCGACGCTTTACAGCCTTCTTTTAAAGAGCCCTGAAAGCCCTTGGAAGCAGCACACTGCAAAAACGCATCCGAGAAATGCAAGACAGAAAACAAGTCACAACAAAATACTGACTTTCACCCCAAAATTTCAATCTCCAAAGTTGCACCTTTTAGAGATCATCTGTTATTGCCTGAACGTACGCAGCTACAACTGCTGCTCTTTTCAGTCTGTGCTGAAGGGTGGAGTGGTACTCGAAGTTCCTCACTCTGCTGAGGAACAGGAGTCTGATGCTACCACCTCTCACCCACAGCTGCACTGTACACAAAGATGCACGAAGCATCAGGGATCATCGTTGGGTTTGTCCTTGAGAAATTCTCATGCTGTGCGTGTGTGTAACGCTGCCAGCTCACAAGAACACGTTTGCTGATTTATCAGCATGCTACAGGGGTCTGGTAAGGGACCAACAGCCACTCTGCACTGAAAATGAAGATCTGTCAGGGAACAGATCTCAGATTATCTTCCACAGAACAGCTTGATAAGAAGCACTTCTAGGCAAGAAAGTCTTTAATCACAGTAAAGAGAGCTGAGAGTTTTCAGAGCACACCTGCTACTCACCTTTATATTCCTTCCTCCCAGCATGACAGAATTCATCTGCTCCAAGGCCAGCTGTGCAGCTTCAGGCACCTCGTATTCCACAAAGGCAAACCCCTAGGACAGAAGGATGCTTGTGTTCAGCCCTGCCAGCTGCACCTTGTCTCGACACCGGTGCCAGCTGACACAGCCAAGGCTTCCCATCTACCCGATTCTGACTGTTGTGGCCTGACAGGACTTCAAGGAAAAGGAATCAGAACTGAAAACTGCATGCTGAGGTGCAGATCCAAGGCCACTCGTTCTGTTTTCAGAGCCTCTCAGACCTACAGACCTAACAGACACTGCACACAGGGCTGCCAGCCGTTCAGCAGCTTTTGTGCACATCTACAGAGTCCTGAGCAAACCAGGTAGAGCAGGCAGCTACGAACATTTATCTCAAGCCAGAGCACTAAAGCAGCCACCCATGAGAATAAAGGCTCCTTCTGCTCCTTGATCAATTCCGTGAGGCCTTGGAGAAAAGAAACACACGCGTCTCAAGGGCTGCTGACCAACCTTGTGCTTCATGGTAACAGAGTCCCAGGACATATCAATGCTTTTTATAGGTCCAAACGGGGCAAAGGCCTGGCGAATGGTGTCTTCTCCCAGCTCATAGTATATGGAGCCCACATAAACACGACACATGATGGCCAAGGCGCGCTGCCTCTGGGCTGCCATCTGTATTGGAAAGAAGAACTGTCTGGTTAGATCGGGGGGTGGCCACGGACGTCAGGACCTCCTCCCCTTCCTCCTTCCCTCCCAGGAGCTCTGACCCAACAGCAAGTAGCTCCTCACTGGGCTGCAGCACAGCCTGGCACACGCAGTGATAAAGAAGTATTTTCCTGCTCAATGCACAGACTGCTGGAGCGGATAAGCGGTACAGCTCACTCCCGGGGCAGTCAAATCTTTGCTGGGGTCTGCCACCGCAGGAGCCTTAACTCCAACCCCAGTGACAAGGTCTGACCCTCCCCAGCGTGATCACATCTCCAGCAACGCTTGCAGGAGGAGGAAATGACTTCATTTTAGGACAGCCTACCCCCTCCTGGCAGCAAAGGTCTCAGCTCTAGGCACTACTGCGATCCCTCCCGCTCCCTCCCTCATGGGGCAGCAAGAGATCCAGCACTGGGCACCACCTGGTCATTCCCTCCCCCCCCATCCTCCCAGACAGCAAAGGACCTGGAATTGGGAACCTCCTCCCCACCCCCTGGAGCATCACACACCTCCTCCTCCCCCTCCACCCACCCCAGGCAGTATGAGATCCAGTACTAGGCACCACTTCCACCGCACATTGCAAAAGGAAAACAAAACAAAAGCTAAAGGAAAAAAAGAAAAGAAAAAAAAAACAACAAAAGAAAATAAAAAAGTTAAACGAAACTTCTTAGTTAAGTGTGTGGTGCTAGTACTTATCACTGCCTGTCGTTACTGGCTCAGATAGTGGTGCAGCCCCCCAAGGCTCCGCCCTTATCAGTTTCGGTGCAGAGAAGGTCTCTGTGCTACTTTCTCCTAAGTATGCCTGAAAACCTGTTTACAAGACAAATCCAGACATTTCTTAAAGCAGGTATCCAATCAAGCAGTATCCTTCAATTATTTTTCACCCACATTGCAATGCTAGAATGGCTAATACCAATTAACATTATTTTAGGAAGACGCTGCCTACTAAAGTCACAGCTTTGGCCAGCACGTCCTACGAGCACGTCTTGGGACCAAGGCAGAAGGGCAGTCTCTGGAGAGGCAGCTCCCTACAACCAGCAGGACTGAGTTCGTGTGTTGGAGGTGTGCACAGGGCCGTGCTGCTGTTCTACGTGGAACACATGGGACAAATGCGGGGCAGGAAGGCCCACAGGCTGGAGCAGAGCAGGCAGCGTTAAGCTCGATGCCTCTCCCTTCCCAGCACCACGATTCCTGGCTCAAAGGCGGGCAGTGCTGGACATCCACGTCACCCCCACCACTGGTGGTGAAGGGGTCTGCAATCGAGGCCTGGATGAGTGACCCTCTTTCAGAATGCTGTAACAAGCATGAGCACAATGAGCTCTGACGTGTCTGGGGACGCCACGGCTCGCATGGCAGAGCACAAGGGCAGTGTTCCAACTTTGACAATCGTGGGACTGTAGACATGAACCGTACCTGAAGGAATTCTTCTCCCTGACCATAGGAGGAAACAAGCGGTGAAGGTTCAACTCCTACCGCTGCACAAAACAGGGATGCTATAAACAGGAACGGTTCTCACCCCGTACGGCCGCTCCTGAAGCGATATTAAACTTGCCTCTTGGTTGGGTTTAAGTATTTCACACAATTAAAAACCAGCCGTTTGTCAGCAGCTCTGCAGTGCTGTGGCTGGGAGGACCAGGGCACGAGCACGACAGCGGACGTGTCGTCTCCCAGGTTCTCCACCACCTTCCCAGCTTTGGTGCACGAAAGCCAGTGCCCAGCAGACCCTCAGTGCGTGTGCTGCATCCATTCATCAGTTCAGAGCCACCACCATTCCGACCCCGTGCCTGAGCAAAGTGCCTCACCACACTGACACTGACTGTGAGACAAATGCAGGGTGCTCTCAGACAAGACACTGCAGCCCCGCTCCAGGCAGAGGCAAACGCCACCTTCTGAAGACTGGGTTGAAAATCAACGGGCTCCCTTCTTTTCAGTTCTCGGTGCAACAGTGGCAAGAAATGTGGCCTCTGCCTCCTCCCACGGCAGCAACCTTTAGGAGAGGATGCACATCTTGCACTGCTGCACGGATTCTGAAACAGGTCGGGCCACGTCAGGGCTGTTACATCTGGAACACATTGGCAAACAGGACTGACAAAGGCAGAATTTTGGACAGATATGATGGCTGCAGGCACACGCGGGTCACTGACACGGTTCAGCAGCACCGATTTGGGGGAAGGATGTAATGTACACCTGTGTGTCTGAAACTCATGGGCAGAAATGCATTGGCTTTCACTGACTACATCAAGTTGTTTTTGCTGGCCACTGATCCTCTTGCTCCATCTCCAAACGGAGCTTCAGGTACCCGCAATCCTCCTCTCACGGGCACCGGTTAATCTTTGTATCAGTGTAATGTTGGGAAGTGTTTATGAAGGTGATTTTAAGGAGAAGCCAAAACATCACCTCGGAATGCTGCTTTTAAGGGCAGGAGGCGATGCAAAACCATCACCACCAGCCTCAGTTTTAACACAACAACGCCAGGAAATTGTGCTCATCTTGCTGATGCAAAATTGAAACCTCGAGCTGTAACGCTTGGAGGATTAAGTAGACAGGAAGCTTTAGTGACAGGCACTAAGATATCCCAATAGGAAGCTCAGGCTGTATTTCCTTCACGTAGGAAATGAGGAATCTCACCCACAGGACGTGTTGGACGCAGCCAGTCTGCATTTCCTACATTCCTGAGGGGCAGCTGCTGGGCAGAGCGCGCCCAAAGGCAGCGATTCAGGCTCCTGCCTCCAGGTTCTGCCCCTCCAGCAGCACTCTCTCCAAGTGCCCGCAGTCTGAGGGAAAGGATTCGTAATGCCAACTCTGCCCCTCATGAGAAATCAGTCATTTCCTGCCACGCCGTCGCTACGTACTTTTCGTCTGCTGCCCATCTGTTAATGAGCTATACAATTTAAGCAAAAATCGGTGGGCTTCAAGCTGTAAGTAAGCATCTACGTTAACTGGTAAAGGTTTCTTGGGCACAGGGGGCTCAGAAACCGCCTGTGCAGAATCCACATTGAGATACCTGCTCCTGTTCCATTCCACACATCCATCAGTTCCATCTAGGCTGCCCTGCTGACACGCTACCTCCCACGACAGCATTACAGGAGGGGAAACGGGCAGTTTTACTTTTGGTTTACGCTTTGCAGGACAGGCCACCAGATGCATTTGACTCCAAACAGAAACGTTACGTTCCAACACGATGGCAAATACTTGCAAATGAACTTTTGCATGCAGAGTGGAGCTTATGGGACACTTTCTGCAGCGGCCACTGTCCAACACGTCTAGGAAAAAGGAGGGGGTGGATAATGCCAGGTAATCAGAGCCACCGAGTCCTCGGTGATGGCTCATCAAGGACGGCAGCACTAAAGAGACACAGGTGAGCTGAGCAGCTCTGCTCTTCTGCCACTTTCACCACGCTTTAGCTCGACTTGAAACATACCGTATTCACCTAGTCTGGACATTCGTACAGTGAGGACACTCTCACACCTTGGCTACAGCACGTTCTGCAAGCCTGCAGTGCCCCAGCCTTCCCCAGCACTGCGGCTGCCAGGTTTCTGCTGCCGTCAGTTTGCTTCGTTAAGAAATTGCCCATTTTTTGAGTTACCTTGGCAGTTAGTTTTAGGTCAGGACCTCAGAACTGCAGCGTCCCTAGAAATGCAGCTCCCACAATTTCACAGGTGTGTTCAGTACTGTTCGAAATCTAAAGCTGTCTTTGCCAACTGACTCCAGGGCCCCGACTGCCCGTGTCCCAGCAGACTGCACTCAGCCCACAGGGTCTTCCTCTGGGGAGTTTACACTTTGCCTCTGCTTGCTGTGCTTGTCCATAACAGGTGGGTAAGTGGGAGGGTTGTGCTGGGTTGAATTAAGAGCATTGTATCACCGCTACATACTTCCCCATTCTAGTCCCTGACTAAGTGCCCAAGAAGAAGTGAATATGTCTATTGACCGATTGTAAAGGTGAGAGAGGATCTCCAAAGCCCATTGTCACTGCTGCCATCTGAAAGACAGTAAAGACAGAGTTCAGTCTGTTGGAGCTGAGCATACTACGGCTGTTTGTACAAACTCAAGCAGAGCGGCGGCACAGGGAACCTGTGAGAGAGGCCTCTCCTTCCTCGCCCCTCACTGCCTGGTCCCAAGGACTGTCCAGCGCTGGGACCCTGCAGATTCCAGGCCACCAGGTCAGGGTGGAGTTGTGCTGCTGCCACTGCCTCAGGAAGCAGGGTCTTCTCCCAGGGGGGGACTCAAGGCAATAGTAACCTCTGCAACCACTGTCGTTGACTCACCCCCAGCATTTAAAAAGAAGCCCCTCGAACTAGAGCGGCCACTCAGAAACACGCACGGCCCTGACAGGCCGGAGCTGCCTAACGTGGCAAGCACATCCACAGTGACACTTCATTAACACATCTGGACCCCAGAACCATTATTTTGGGCTTCCCAACTGAACAGAAAGCAGTGAGACGTGTTGAGATCTCCAGCGGAAGGGAGATGTAAATGGCAGTTCAATTGCAATCCTTTCCCAGGACGAAAGCATCGCAGCCTAAATTTCAGGAGCAGCCAATGACTTCCCAGCGAGGCCGGCAGGGCACCCGGCTGAAGGGGAAGGAAGTGGGGCAGCACGTCAACAACAGAGGAGAGAGGGCACCCTCCCCTGCAGAGGGAAAGATGGTGAAAGGATACTGATCTCAGTAACCCCAGACACCACCTCACGTGTAAGCTGAGGGGGAAACCCACAGCTAATTCTTTAGCTTCTGGCGTTTTGAGAAGTGTTTGGCCAACTAACAGGAGAGAAACTCTTAACGATTTTCTCTTTGGCTACGTGAAAGTGGGGGGGGCAATTTGTACAGGTGAGCAAAGGGCATTTCTTTAGAGGGCTGAAGGCAGTATACTTCGATTTCACTGTGGAAATAGAAGTGCTTGTACCTGGCTCCGGGCATGCCTCAGGGCTGTGCTCTGCTTCTAAGTGTAAAAAGAACTCCACCTTGTTGGGGAGAGTAAGACAGAAAGAGCATCTGGGAAGGCCTCTCACCTGCAGGTTGGTTAGCTGTTGTTGCTGGTGGGCGATGGTTTGCTTCACCAGCACACTCTTGATGCTCTGCTCCATCGCATACTTCTTTGCCTACGAGGAAACACAGGCTCTGTAATCACCAGGTGATACCACAGAACACGGAACGACGTCCGACTTCACACCATCGCTCCCCAGAACCACACAACTGGCTGCCAATGGTGCTTTTTGGTGCTCCAGCCCTAAGCACTACGGCACGGTACGTTAGGCAGCAGCCAGCAGCTCGCTAACGTCTCGGTCTGCATCTCGGAGTTGCAAGCCCTGAAATACAGCATAATGCTTGAGCAGAGGGTTGGATGGACTCAATCTGCAGCAGGCGCAATGTTAGGAAAGCAGCATGCACTACACACTCAGTATTTCCCCTCTTCCTCCCTCTGCCCCTCAGATCCCACCGCAGCACCTTACCTGCTGGGATGAGGGCAGCACAGATTGCCTCCTTCAAATCCTTTCCACTCAGAACATCTGGACAAAGAGGTTCTACGGAAGGGAAAGGGGCTCCTAACGCCCGTGCCCAGGCTCTCGGCTACGCGCTACCCCTCCCTCGCCTCATTGCATCTGTCCTCTTCCGACTCGAGGGACCCACTGCTCACGCTCACTGAAATGCTCCAGCATTCCAGCTCCTAGCCTATGGACACAAAGCTGATTCCTCTTTTTTTGCCAGTCTTCTAGAACTCTGACAAGGCCCAAGCGTTACACCAGCGGTGTCAGAATGGTGGCTTTTTGTCAAAGGAAACCTAACACCCACAGACGTGCCTGTGCCCACGGGCCACACACTTTCAGCCAAAACCCCTCAGGCACCTGCTGTCCATGGCTGCACGTGTTTGGGAGGTGCCAGGGAACAGTAGGCTCTAAACCGTGGCTTTGAGACGCGTGCTTCGGTAACCTGGAAATGGACAAGGGGAGGATGTACATCTGTCAGCTACAGAGAAGCCAGAGGAAACGAGGCCGTCTCACACTGTGAGCCAAACACACACACACAGGCAGCTTCAGCACAACGGGAACATTCACATGAAGCCTACCCACAGCAACGCCAGGATCACCTCACCAGGATGCGGAAGGCGCCTACCCCACAGCTCCCACACCCCCTGCTTTGCTTCTCTTTCTCCCCTTTTCCTCTCAGCAGCAAAGTGGGCCGCAGGTCAGCAGTAAAGCTCCCCACCAGCTGCACAAAGCGGGTCCAGGAACAGAGCCGGACTGAAGTTTCATCTACATTAGGGCTCGGGTGGGACTGCAAATTGCTGCGTGCTGCTGGGTGTCCTCACGTGGAAAGGAGGATAAGGGGACAACAGATATCGTGTGATGCTCCTTGTGTGGATGAAATGAGAGAGCTGGAGCATATCAGAATCCCACTGCTCGTGGTGCAAGGCTGCTCCTCACGGGAACTCTGTGGCGGTTGCACATCGTCTCAGAATTGCAGTGTGATCTGAAGGCGTTACGATTTGGGTTTATAAAGAAACAAATTACAGCTCCTACCCCGATGGTAATTCCAGGATGTGCTCTCCAAGAATCATCTTTAAACTGCAAGCTAACCCAAGCAATCCTTGGGTGCAACGCTGAAGGTGTGAATGCACAGGGAGCACACGCATTCCCCCTGCGCGCTGCTGGCAGGTGAGCTCTGCTCTTGTAACAGTAAAGGCGTGTTTCAAAACACAGCAAAAAACAGCAACCGTCAAGCAAATAAAACTAAACCAAACACGTGAAACCAACCAAAGAAGAAGAAGAGTGATGGAGCGCGAGACACAGAGCGACGTGGGGTAAACTCACCTTCTGGAGGGCCTCCTGCTGCTCGGGTGTGAGGGGGGGGAGCCCCAGTTTGGCTGCTGTGCTTTGACCATTTTCCATCTTAATGGACTCCGTACCCTAAGGAAACAGAAAAGCACTCGTGGAAAAGCTGTTCTGACAAAACCATGCAGATTTATATTTCCAGAATGCCGACGTGCCAGCGCTGGCTAAAAGGCCTTCCCAAACCTGCTGGTGCGTCATGGAAACCTGCTCTGCGACAGGAACGCTGAGGCCCCTTCCCACAGAGCACCATCCAACCCCAAGGTGACAAACAGGTTGGCAGCTCAATCTGAACAATTCCCCAACCATCACATTTGCAACAAAGAAAAATTAAATAGCTCCCAGCTTTCACTTCTACCACCTCCATCCCACCCCCTTCACTTCTACCACCTCCATCCCACCCCCCGCTCCACCAAACATCATCACCATCTCTCCATCACTCCTCACACCGCTCTGTTACCCTCAGTTTCTCTTTTTCAGTGTTCCCTCCGTTCTCCACATTAAAACACTGCTGTAGGTCCCGAGTCACACCACCACTGTTCTCATCCCTGCTACGATGTACATCAGCTGCACGTGCAAAGTCCCTCACCCAACACAGGAATAAAAGGAGCTGCTGGGCTCCTGCACTAACTTCTCATGGTATCACTGATGTATGAAATCCTTCTTTGGGTTTAAGGCGTCCTACTGCCTTCAGGCCGTGTTTTATACCAAGCTTCCTTCCTGTGAAACAGCCAACCCACTGTTTTACCACGTCAGGTAACAACAAGTCTCCCTAAGGCACGCACGGCTCACACCTCCCTGCTCAGCACCTACCAACTCATGTTCTTAACACGTCCCCTGCCCTCGCAGTCCCCATCACATCACTGCTGTGCTCATCATTAAAGCCTACTGATGCGTACCTCAGTTCTGCAGTTACAAATAAAGAACGTGTCAGCGGTCTCCAACAAGAGCAGTACTGGGGAAAAGGAAAAGAAAAAGAAACAGACCCGCTCAGGTTCACTCAGTAAAACAAGAGCAGCTCTCCTGGCACCGCAACAAAGCCGTCCCATGGGAACAAACAACAGTTTGGATGGAAGTAACCAGCAGCTTAGCAGCAGTACCGTGCCTTCTGCTCACCTGGTCCCATCCATTCAAACCCAGCGCTGACGGACAGTGAAGAGTTCTCCCCTGCAGGCACAAACACTTCTGACACACCGGGGTCCTCCCCACAGGAAGGATCTCACTGATGCATCGAGGTCTCACGGCCCTGATCCCAAAACAGAGACCAGCAAAGAGCTGCTCCTTGGGATCACCTGACACCTCGCTCTGCCAAAAGCAAAAGATCCACGCCGCATCTGCACGCAAACTCTGCACTTCTCTGCGTTCTCTTTATGCCTCCACGAGCAGAGCAGTGCAAGCAGGCTGCTGCTGCAGCTCCCTCTGAGATGCAGGGCTGCGTTACAGCCAACACCAGCACTGGGGCTCAGACACAGCACACACTCGTCCCCCTAAGGAGCCACAGGCACTGTGAGAATGCTCCAACACTTTAACCAGCCAAATTCCTTCCATAGCAGTGATGGACACCACCTCAACACTAATGCAGTTCCAGTACCTTCGTGTTATTCTCAATACAGGCTAATGATTTGATTTTTAAATTGCCATGGAAATAATAGAGGTTGCCAAGTTTAAGAGGTGAACAGCAGAGAGAAGGGAAATGCCACGTATCTGTGTTCTCAGCAGACACCCTGAGGTACAGAGCCAACACAGCCATCCTCGAGCCCTCCGCTGAGAAAGGTGGAAGAAAGGCCCCTCCGCTCAGGGCCTCCTCTGCATCCTGCTCACCTACAGAACCACCAACTCCACCTGCGCCCAGAGCAGCTCAGATGCAGCAATCCTTAACACCAGTGCCACCAAGTGCCTCCCCTGAGGGCTGGCTGCACCCCAAGGCCCACTGCTCCATTCACAGCCAGCACAGAGCTCTGCACCAACAGCTGGGGCTGCCCCAGGACTGCAGCTCCCTTCTCCGGAGGCAGCGATGCCACCCGTCCTCCCACCGGCAGACCTGGGGGAAAGCACTGCTAATGGGTGCTTAGCCAGCTCATTAACCAACTTCTTGTTTCTTAACCTGGGCATAAAGAGGGGTGGCATTCCTTCTAAGACAGACTTCTAGAGGTGTCTGTGCCCTGTGCCTGTTGGTGTTTAGAACACATGTGGATAATGCCCTCAGTGATGCTCTGACTTCAGGCTGGTCCTGAGGCAGCCTCGCAGCCAGACCCACCCCTGCTGTAGGCCTCACTATGGGGACCATTCCAGCCTAGCTGACAGCCACCAGAGCACCCTGCTGGACTGGGGATTCCTTCCCACGAGGTAAACGGTGCTCATCTTCCCAACAGAATCCTGCTCGCTCCTTGTGCAGAGCTGCTCTGACTTCCATTCACACAGACACACCGCACCATGGCAGAAGCTGCTTTCCTGCACACTCAGAGGAAGGAGTGAGAACGGACCACAGCACCGCAGCATCACAGCTGCAGCCATCCATCCCACACCAGGACTGCACCCTGGGCCTGAAGCCACACACCTGCCCTGCTCTGCTGCTCCTGTCAGCTCCGCCTGCATCATTCCTTAAAGCAGAACTCAGCTCCCCTCCCAACCCAACTGAAAATTCCAGAATGGACAAACATCCCCACCTGCCCGGCAGCAGAGAGGTACCAGGCTGAACGGACCTCCCTCCGCAAGCAAAGTGCTACCAGCGTAAAAACTACCACGGAGCAAACCTCAGATAAGGACACAAAGCATGAACGTAAGCCATTCACCCACAGAGCAGCCACTTTACCCACTGAAAGGTTCCTCCCAGTTCAGCCACCAGTCTCAGAGTACCACTGAAGGCTGCCTGCATGCTGCCTCCCAGCAGGGCAGCGAGCTGCACACCAGGACAGCCAACGGAGCTGCAGGGTGAGCTCACTGACATCCAGAGATGCCCTTGGTCATCCACAGCCTGTTGCACAGCAGATCCTGACCGTGTCTCAGCCTTGAGCTCATCCTAAGGGAGTTGTGAGCATTTTCTGGTATAACAGACATCAAGCAGACGTGAAATAAACTCTCCTAATGTAAAAACCCTCCGCACGAATGCTGGAGCACAACAATCTGGAGTTGCAGTTGCTTCACTGGACCCCGTGGACACAACACCATGAAATAACACACAGAGACCTGAGGTGAATTAAAAAGAGCAAAAAGAAAAGCTGACACACAAATAAGAACAGCGGCAGTTGGAACCACTGCAGCCTCAGGAGCACACGGCTGATCAGAAGGAAGCACTGCAGGGCCCACACTACAACTGAGAACAGGAAGCAATCAGCAAAGCCATACGGCAACGGCCATCTGTGCAGGGCAGGAAGGCTTCACCATCTCCAGGATTAATTGCGACCACGGAACACTGAAAAAAAGCCAATGTGCTTCCCAAGCGTGCGAGGGTAACAACAGCACCAGGAAAAGCCTCGGCACGATGCAGGTGGAGCCGTCAGGCAGCAGTGGGACAGCAGCTCTGGAAAAGCAGGCTGTGCTTCACACCGCGCCCCTTGCAAACTGCCTCATCCAGCAGCAGAGAGCAACAGGAACGTGTGTCACACTGCCAGCAGGAGGGAGAACGCGAGCTGCCTTCACAGGGAGAGAAACACAGAGTACACCTGGTGCTACGGATGCTGCTTCTGAGCGCCGCGAGGCCTTTACCTGGTTTGAACTCCAAGAGTTCAGGCGCATCTCCTGGAAATCTACTCCAGGGCTGAGAACCTCCCTGAAGTACAAACACACACAAGAGAAAACAAATACAGAGGCTCGTTTATTTGAGGAACCGTAGCAAGTGAGCGACACAGGAGATGAAATAAGGTAGGAGTGTGAGGTGGGTTGAGAACTGGCTGAGTGGCAGAGCACAGAGGGTCGTTGTTGGTGGTGCAGAGTCCGGTTGGAGGCCTGTAAGCAGTGGTGTTCCTCAGGGGTCTGTGCTGGGTCCGGTCTTGTTCAACATCTTCATCAGTGACCTTGATGAGGGGATAATGGCCACCCTCAGCAAGTTTGTGATGATACCAAGTTGGGAGGATTGGCTGACAGCCTGAAGGCTGTGCTGCCATTCAGCGAGAGCTGGGCAAAAAAAAAACCAGATGAAGTTTAACAAAAGCAAGTGTGGAGTCTTGCATCTGGGGAGGAAGAATTGCATGCAGCAGTACAGGTTGGGGGATGAGCTGCTGGAGGGGAGCTCTGCGGAGAGGGACCTGGGTGTCCTGGTGGACGACAGGTTGCCATGAGCCAGCAGTGTGCCCTTGTGGCCAAGAGGGCCAATGGCATCCTGGGCTGCATTGCACAGAGCGTGGCCAGCAGGGCGAGGGAGGCGATCCTCCCCCTCTGCTCTGCCCTGCTGAGGCCTCACCTGGAGCACGGCGTCCAGTTCTGGGCTGCCCAGCACAAAGCAGACAGGGATCTGTTGGGAAGAGTCCAGCGGAGGGCCATGAAGATGGTGAGGGGCCTGGAGCATCTCTGCTATGGAGAAAGGCTGAGTGAGCTGGGTGTGTTCAGCATGGAGGAAAGGAGGCTGAGAGGGGAGCTGATCCAGGGCTGTCAGTATCTGAGGTGTGGGGGGCAGAATGGCGAGGATGGACTCTTTTCAGTGGGGAGTGGAGACAGGACGAGGGGAAACGGCCGGAAACTGCAGCATAGGAAGTTCTGCACAAATATGTGCAAGAACTTCTTTACAGTGAGGTGACGGAGCACTGTTCACTGCTGCCCAGGGAGGTGGTGGAGTCTCCTGCTCTGCAGATGTTCCAGACCTGCCTGGATGCCGACCTATGCGACCTGCTGTAGGGAACCTGCTTTGGCAGGGGGTTGGACTCCATGAGCTCTGGAGGTCCCTTCCAACCCCTACAATTCTGTGATTCTGTGATACTTGAGGAGTAATTCGCCAACAAGAAGCTTCACTAAAAGTACTTTGTTATAGAAGTGGTTATTCCTCGCTCTGCTCACATCAGCGGCTGGAGGGCTGTGCTCATCACGGCGTGCTCACACCGCACAGCCCCACAGCAGTGAGGCTGAAGAGCCACCAGCCCAAGGCTGTGACAAAGGCAGTGCTTTCATGTGCACGACAGATTTAACTCCCAGAAAAGACCTCAACGTGCACAAGAACCATCGCCTCACCTCAAGAACCACCACCTCACCTCAAAAACCACCACCTCAGCTCAAAAACCACCACCTCAGCTTGTGGCTCACAGCTGCAACTCGAACTCTGCAAGCCCTTGTGTGCATGGCACCCTTTCACTGCTCCTCACCCCAAATTGCTGCTACCAGGATGGGAGCACAGCCTGTTGGTGCCACAGCAGGCAGTGCAACAAATGTGCTGCAAAACTCAAAGTGTGCAGCACATCCAAGGTCCTTCCATCAGCACTGCCAGGTGTGCTACACACAGAGCAGGCAGGCATTAAACCTCCCCAGACATCCTGTGCCCAAAGCGCTTCAGTAACCACACGTTTGTGTGAGCAACATCTGTTTCATTGAAGCAAAGAAGGAAATTCTACAGCATGCTTCAGTGATGCTATTTGGCAGCATACTCAATTCTCCTGGAGCTCCAAACTCAACACAAGTCCAACTTCTGCAAACACAGTCCTCAAAACACACACACAAACACAAAGGAGCCACGATCCCCTGACACAGCTCTCACCATGCTTTGTAAATGACTCCCAGCTGCACCAGAACTGAGCCATTAAAACCAACACTGTTCTGGGTGTCACCTTCAAATGCGATACGCACTGCCCTCCTGACCACCGTCAGGGCAGATGGAGGTTGGATGTCAGGGGAAGTTCTGTGCTGTGAGAGTGGTGAAGGGCTGGAACAGCTGCCCAGAGAGGCTGCGATGCCCCGTCCATCCCTGGAGGTGTTCAAGGCCAGGTTGGATGGGGCCCTGGGCAGCCTGGGCTGCTGTGAAATGGGGAGGTTGGTGGCCCTGCTGTGGTGGGGGGTTGGAGCTTTGTGATCCTTGAGGTCCCTTCCAACCCAGTCATTGTGTGGTTCTGTGATCTCAGCCCCTTGGCTGCGACTGCCCAATGGAGCATCAGTGTGCCAGCCACGAAGCACAGCAGCTGGGAGGACAAGGCCCAGGGCTGGCTGCACGGCAGCAAGCTGGGGCACCCAGAGGAACTGCACTAAGGCAGCATTTGCAATGAAATGACATCAAGAGCCAACAGTCCAAGCTGCAACGTGCAGGGACATTCCCACAGCACTGCTCTCACAGCAAAGGTCTGCATGGTGCAGCTGCACCTGCTGCTGTCCAGGCCCTAAAGAACAGCTGAGAAGGGCTCAGCATTGGGCTCTCAGACACTGCTCAGCCTGAGTGACACGTGGGCCGTGGCAAGAAAGGAAGAGATGCCAATACAGACACCATGCCACGTGAAACACTGCGTCACCTGTCTGCCTGTCCTGCAAGCAGAGACACACGGCCTACTGTAACAGCAGGGATGAAGGGATCCAAAAGAAGTGCTGAGAAGTAAATGGAGATGGAGGAGAAGAAACAGCAGAGCTGCCCCAGGTAAACAACAGTAACGCTGTGGGTAAGGAAACGCCCTGACAGAGCTTTGGTGCCAACTGACTGCGTGTGGCATCAGAAGGTTAGAGCTGGAAGATCAGCTCAGTACAAAGCCAGCGTCTACGTGAAGTTCAGGTGTGGGAAATGAGGGTCCATTTTCTCAGTGACACAGAGATCAGGGAAAGAGCAAGCTGGGGAAGGAGGGATCGAAGAAGCCGGATGAAGAGAGATTTGTCTGCTAACACAGCACGATGTTTACATAAAAAGCATTCAACAATGTGAACTGAATGCCTGGTAAATCTGTGGCACCAGATAAGCACGCGATGAACACGAAAGCGATCCGACATCGTGCAGCTTTCCCGGGATTTATAGGACCCAATTCAATCTCCTTAAAAGATGCATTGCTTTTGACAAAGGAACATCCTCTCCTTTCCATTTTTTACTGTTTTCCCAAGTAACTGCTTCCAGTACAACAGCAGAGCCCATGCTCTGAAAGTCCCCACTCAGAAAGTAAGCTGGGAACAAAACCTGTGCTTGCAAAACCCCAGAGCTCCGTTTGTTCATCTTCACTGAACTTATTTTGTCCTTCACTCTCCAGCCTTTCCAGCCAGCCACCAAATCTCAATTGGCCCTGAGCAGAAAAGCACCGCGGCTGCACTGAGAGAAGCAGTTTGTGCAGCAGCACTGGCCTGACCCCAGGCACATCAGAGCAGCCTCCCTGCCAGCACAGAGGGGAGACCTGAAGCAGCCAGAGGCACCAAACTCAGAAGGAAAGGTGCCACTGATCACACAGCATGACTGACAGCTGGGATGTTTAACTCAGTCTGGATCTTAAGGACTAGAAACAAGTGTGGGTCAGTACAGACACGCAGTGCCTCCAAGCCCAGTGAATTAACACTGCGCTGGATGGTCGGATCCGGCTGGTTCCCAGTAAGATCGGAACAAAACTCACACAAAAAACACACAGACCATTAAAAATCCCTTCATGCCACATCCACACCTCTGAGAGCTGTGTGGAAACGGGCCTCCATCACCCCCCTGGGCAGCCTGCTGCAATTCACAAGCGCTCTGTTTGTGAAGAAGTCACAAACCCAAAGCACGGGCGCCGTTCCTCATCTCCCATCCCCATCACAAGCTCAGGTGTCCCTTCAGTCCCAGGACTGCTGCTGCCAATTTCTGGCGTTCACCCACGCATCAAAGCTGCCTCCCAGCTGCTGCTGCCACGGACAGCCATTAGAGGAACCTACATTGAATTGAATGTCATAGAGCCAAAGTTAACTCTCAGTGTTACAAGAGTAACACCAGGATCATTAAGGCCTGCTTGGGCTCCACGCAGTGCTTTGTCTGCGACAGGATTACAGCCCTCTGAGTGGGAACTGATGCTGCGAGCTGACTGACTTCAGCTTGAATGCTCAGGGTTACAAGGCAATGAAACAGAAATAATCCAACTCCTCATGCTTACTGCGTGCTGCTCCCAAGAAGAGTCAATCCAAACACCAGATCTGTAGGCAAGCGACCCAGGAGTTGATTTCACAGTGTGAATCTTACTATTGTAGGTAATATAAATAGGTAATGCGTATCTACATAGAATCTCTGAAACAATTCCTTTACTTTTCTGTCTGTGCTGTAAGGTAATTTCCAGAATGGAGCTGTGGCTCTGACAGCCTGACTGCAGCCACCCCACCACTGCACTGCATGCAGCAGAACCAGATCGAGGCTTGCTGTTTTAAAGCTGCCACGTTACTTTCCCGTTGAAAAGGTGTATGTTGCTGTTTCAAAACATCCAGGGACCAAAACATGGAGGGACAGCAGAGCAATTGGCTGAAACAACATGCTGGGAGACAAAGGACATTCATTGCCTCAGCTCTGAGGGAGAACTAACACTTTACTCTCATGTTTCCTGAACAATGCAACATTCCTTTCATTCTTCATCATCTTAGGAATCAAATGTAGCTTTACATACTTAAAGCTTGAATGCTCGTCCCCAGAATTAATTTGGCTAATTGCCTAACCTAACGAAGACCTCATTAAACAAGACAGGAATCAAACTGTGAGTTATTTGTATTTACTCCTGATTCTGAGCGCCAACATTCATGAAGTCAAACAAGGAGGGCTCTAAGAAACACCTCCTTCATAGTACAGAGGCAGACCCTTGTGTGGGCTCAAGGCTAACAGCTTTAGAATCAGTTCTGTTCACAACAAAAATCCAATGTTTTAAAGAAAACGACGGCGGGGTCAGGAAGCAGAAAGCACAAAAACATTGCGAAGCATCCCGCTCTGTCACACCAGTGGTCCAGGCAAAGCTGTGAGCATCAGATGGTGTCTGGGGGGCACAGCACCACGGCCACCCCTTGGGTAGCTCCCCAGCATCCAGTTTTCACACCACGGGTTCCCCCAGCCATGCGACACAGCAGGTTTCATGTTTCCATTTCACACAATTCCATTTACAATCATGTATTTTGCAAAAAAACAAAAACAAATCAGTGCAAGAAAGGCTGAACGGCACCTGAATGAAGCATTTAACTTCCAAAATTTGAGATTTCACTCACATAGGAAACAAACAAGCCTCTGAAACGAGACTTCTGGTTCCACACCGCATCAGCGGTCTTTCCTTAAGAAGAAATCTACAGAACCTTCCAAAAACACGACGGACTCCTACAGTGATCGGCGGGGCTGGGATCCCTTCGCGAGCAGATAACCTGGCAGCACACACAAAAACACCGACGCCTCAGCGCACGGAGCCCCTCCATCAGAGCTAAAGCCAACAGCCCAACCCCGGGGCCGTACCCTACGAGGCCTCAGGGCGGAAAACATCCTAAAATACGCTAAAATCCTCTCATGACAACAGCGAGAACTTAATTCCCCAACGAACCTCGAGCACCGGGAGCGACGTGCCGGCCTGCAAAGCCGCAGCCCCGGCCGGCAGCGCCAGGACAGGCCGCAGCCCCGGCCCGATCCAGCGCGAGGCGAGCAGAGAGCCCCGAGCAGCAGCCGAGCCTCGGAGAGCCGCAGGACGGCCCGAAGGAAGCCGAGCCGAGAAGGGCCGAGGCGAGGAGAGCCGCCCGAGCGATCCGGCCCGGGTCGCACGGAGCAGAGCCGGCGCGGGCTGAGACTCACCAAGGAGATGGTCGTTGTGGCCGCCATCTTGTCCACCCCGTCGGCGATCGGCACGAAACTCTCGCGAGAACCTTCAGGAGAGCGCAGAGGGGTAACTCTCGCGAGAGGTCCTGTAGAAAGACTTGGGAGAACATCTCGCGAGAATGCGGGTGAGAGCGGGCGGGACGACGGAGTTGGCGCCAGCCTCGCTCTGCTTCCGCTTCCGCTGCCACCCACCCGTCGCAGAGCGCCCCCTGCGCGTTGGGCGGAGCGCTGAGCCCGCGCTGGGTGTTGTGGGCGTGCGCTGGGTGCTGGTGCGCGACATGGGGCAGCTGCAGCACTGTGACCCGTGCCGTTCTGCTCTTCCTCTCGGGTGGCCCAATCTTTTATGCACAGATTTAAATGCACGGGCGAAGTCAGACCAGTGGAAATGCCGTTTCTGCCGCAGAGGGTGGAAATGCCACAGGAGTTTTAGGGATCCTTAAGGTTCTGATCAACGATTCAGAAAGTTCAAGCCAATAAAGCTTCCCGAAAGCCGTGCGACGACTTGACATCTCAGTGCTGATGGTCAGGAAGTTCTGCACTGCAAAGCATCTTTTTGTCAGCTAGCAGAAAAGGTGCAACGTCTGAATCAGAACACAAAACCAATCGGCCTTCTTTCTAGCCTGAATTTGAGATCAGGTAACCACTGGCAGGCATTCATTACTGAGGCTCAGCGGATCCCTACGCTGTGCAATTGCTAATGACTGTAGATCTTCCAGAACACCTTCTAGTAGATCTAACAGATCTTCTAGCAGATACTGTGCAGGATGTAGAGCACATGGCAGCCGGGTGGCCAAGGAGGCCGATGGCATCCCGGCTTGTGCCAGCAACAGTGCAGCCAGCAGAGCGGGAGGTGCTCATCCCTCTGTACTCAGCTGTGGTGAGGCTGCACCTCAGTGCTGTGCTCAGTGTTGGGCCCCCACTGCAGGCGAGACACCGAGGCCCTGCAGTGTGCAGAGAAGGGCAGCGGAGCTGGGAGGGTCTGGAGCACAAATGCTATGGGGAGCGGCTGGGGGAATGGGATTTGTGCAGCGTGGAGAACGGGAGGCTCAGGGGACCCCTATTGCTCTGCAGTGACCCGGAGCACTCAGAGAGGGAGGCTGTGGTGAGCTGGGCTCGGCCTTTGCTCCGAGTAGCAGCGACAGGATGAGAGGGAACGGCCTCAGGCTGAGGCAGGGCAGATTTGGGTTGGATTTGGAAAAACTCCTGCTCAGGAAGCTGCACTGGGGGGCGGTGGAGTCACTGACCCTGGAGGTGTTGAAGGAACGGTTCGATGTACTGGGGACGTGGTTCTGGGGGCAGCGATAGGCGGGAGGTTGGGCTGCACAATACGGATGTCTTTTCCAACCTTTGTGATTCTATGATTCTATGTGCCATACCACAGCTATGATACACGGACAGGAATTTCAGGCATTGTGAGCTGACAGACCTGACCATCGGTGCCAGGGACTCATCCCCCCCTTGTCCGGCAGGACTGTTGTCTGACTTGCACAACACAAACAAACACGAGGGCAGCATTTCCATTCTTGTGCTGGTGACAGCTCTGCAGAGGCGGCCATGCACGTCTCTCTGGATGCTGAGCTGTGGGCCTGCAATACTCCTGCAGCAAAGGAGGCCCACGGCCACCTGGGCTGCCCTGGGAAAGCCTCATTAACTGGCTGAGGGAAGAACTCTCCTCTGCTCTGCTCTGATGAGGTTCCCTCAAAAGCACAGAGCCCATGAAATGGAGCGAGCCCAGCGCAGACAGCCTAGATGGCAAAGGGCCTGGAGGGTGCACGGTGGGAGAGTCTGAGAGCTGGGATGGCTGCACATCAGCGTGAACAGATGCCTGATCAGTGGGTGAAGACTCGTGGAATCACAGAACAGGTTGGGTTGGGAGGGCCTTTAAAGTCCACAGAACGATCGAGTGGTTCGTATGGGAAAGAACCTTAAAGATCATCCAGTTCCAACCCAAGAAGCTGGAGCTAGGCTGTTCTTGGTGGTCCCAGCACCGGGGCAAGAGGCTGAGCAATGGGCCCAAATTGAAAAACGGGGAAATCTTTTTTTCACTGAGGTTGGCTGAACACTGGTTACCCGCGGGTTATCCAGGCAGGCTGGATGTCTCCACCCGTGGGGGTTCTCAGACCTGACATGGCACTGGGCCACCCAGCACTGGGCTGGAGGACCGCACAGGGCAGCCCTCACCAACCTCAGATCTCCTGTGGCGCTGTGACTGTGGCGCTGCCTGACATGTGCATGAAACACCCTGTGGCTGCCAGTTAACAGACTTATAGCTGCTGACTGCAGCCAGCAGGAGGGAGATCCATCGCTCAAGCTGAGCTGTAATGACATTCAAAGAATTGAGAATGAGGGTGAAGTGTGCTAAAGAAGAGCTCACCGGCTGAGCAGGGAAGCAGCAGCTGGTGTATGAAGGCACTTCTTAGTTTGCAAAGGCAAGTGCAAGCTTGTTCAGGACAAAGCAATTTCTGCATCACGCAGCTGAATGCTGCTTTTCCTGCGAATGCCTTCTCTATCCAATTTACCCAACTTTGCTGGGTCAGTGTTGAACTCGAGGAAGCTGCTTCACTCTTCCTACCTGTAAGAGTGACCAAGAGACCGCCGGGTGCTCGCTCAGCAGACCAGCTCCTGGCGTGAGATAAGCTGCTTGCAATGGCTTTATTGACTTGTCAGTTCTGTCAGGCTGGCACAGTGCAGCACGACTGGGGAACACAGCACGAGTGGCAGCTCGGCGCAGCGGCGCAGCACGGCGGCCCCCGCCACACAGCCGGTGCAGCACCATGCGGCACGAGGCGGGCGATGGAAGACTTGGCACAGCGCAGCACAGCAGCAGGGCTGCTCACAGCACAGCTTTCACTACACGAATAACTTCTATTGGTGATTTTTACCAATGGAACCCGATGGGCAGCAGCTACGATCGCGCTTTTCTACGCACAAGCGATGGAAGTTCCAAACACCCCAGGACACGCAGGGAAGGAAGAGACATAGGGGTTTTTCCCCTTAGGATACCATAAGATTTTTGAAGGCCGTGAGACAAACAGCAGTGAAAATGGTTCTGTTCAGCACCAGTGACGTTTCTGCTGTTCCCTGTGTTGGGATCCAGCTGGGTTTGGGTTGCTGCAGTTTCTTCTCCTGCAGCGCCAAGTCCAGCTCACAAAGTCCACCTGTCAGCTTACAGCAAGATGCGAGCTTCTAACTGAAAGGCATCACAGCGGTTCAGCTGTGCGTGGGAAACCTTAACAAAACAGCAGGAAAAGGAGATAGAGGATGGAACGTGGCAGATGGCAAACTGTGCTGGAGCTTTCCTCCCTTCCGCACCCATCACCGGCTGGCAAAGAGGAAAAAAAGAAAGAGCTTTAGGACCCGCAGTGAGAAAAGCTTATCACTCCCAGAGGCAAAATTATCGGTCTGTGGGACTCTTGCAGCAGCTCCACATCTTCACAAACACCGTCAGCGCTCCCCCAGGCCCCACAGCTACCCTGGATTGCCTCTCCAGGAGCAGGGGCCGGGGCACGTGCTGGTGCAGAGGCCATTCCTTGTGTTACAGCTGGTTGCTATTCCGCTTGCTGTTGTCTTTCCACGCCACAGCAAAGGCATACAGACTCTCACGGACTGCAAAGATTCAGTCTGGAGTGGCCCCGCTGGAGGAGTTGGTTCCAGAGCCCATGGCTGCTCCTTGCTGGGTACGTGCCCGTCCCCACAGCGCAGGGACCCCACTGCCCCAGGGGTGACTCACAAGGGAGGAGACCGGTGCTTGTGGAAGGCATTTTCCAGGAAGTTAGCCAGTTTCTCACAGTCATCCTAAATATAGAAGAAAAAGCAAGCCGACAGATTAGTTTGCCACGCTTTTTCCAGCGCACAGGAGAAAGCACTCTGCTGTTTCAGTTCCAAGCTGTGCAGTTGCTGTGCTCAGGTGAAGAAGGAAGCCTGAATACACTTCTTTTTTCCAGGCCTACTCACATTTATTTTTCCCCCCCTGCCTTGTCTGATGTCAACGTCCAGAATGAGAAACGCTTCAAAGCTTTGCCTACAGCCCCAGAATCCCCAACTTGTACAGAACAGAAAAATAAACGCATTTTTCATTTTCCCCACACTCCTTTGCCCTGAGGCCACGCTGCCCAAATGACTGCGCAGCTCTGCGTTCCTCCTTGAGTCCATCTGCAGACACCAAGGGAGAGCCTGGAAGGGGCAGTGCTGCTGTAGGGCACTTGTGACAGGGAGAAGTTTGCAAAGTGACCTGAGAGCAGCGTGGGCTGCTGGGTCCTGGCTGCTTCTCCCTGGCACGGCTCAGGCTTTCACATTCAGAAAGGCAGGGAGTTGATGCAGCGAGTGTGGTGAGCTGTCACTGCTAGATGGCTGACCCTTCAGAACAGCAGGAGCAAAGTGTGGAGCCCAGAAAAATCAAGCAGAGAAGCACTGAGCAAGGGTACAAGTGCACAGCACAGAGCTGCAGCCTGGGCCCCGTGGCCCAGATGGGGAATAAGGCAGGAGGCATCAGGCTGTGCGGCACACAGCGCGCGCGCTGACAGTGGCACGGCGCACGAGCAGCCTTACCTCGTGGATGAACCCGTAGTGCACCAGCTCTGTGGCGAGGTCCTTGGAGTTATCAGCTGCAGAGGGAAGGAACAGTGAGAACGTTGGTGCATCCCAGCTCGTCCCCTCCCAACAAAGCACACCTCTCCAGCCCAGCTGCGCCCCATTGCGCATTAGGGGCACGCACTGCGTGCTGCTGCTCACAGTTCTGAGAACGCTGGGGCCCAACAGAGCAGAGAGGGGAGTGGGTAAGAGGCAGGACTGAGCTCCAGCCCCACATCACACAGCACAATGCCTTGGCAGTGTGTCACTGGCAGGTCTTTGAGTTGGGCTCAGCATGAAAAGGAAGCGGGCCGCTTCCTGCAGGTAGGAACAGGAGGAGCTGGCGGTGCAGCAAATCCCAAGCGTCAGTTTCCAAGCTTTGTGTTTTTGTTCTTCCTGTAAGGGACTCCAGCTGTGCAGCCTGCAGAGGGCTCCTGCACACCTTAGGAAGGAGCTGCTGCGTCAGACCGACCCCAGGAGAAGTGCCCTGCCCCAGGGCCATGGGGTTCCCCCAAGACAAGAGCGCAGCAGCTCCTTGGAAGGTGCTGTGGAGACTGCCCCAGAGCTGGGAAAAGGCAAAGAATGCACTCATTCACTGGGATTGCCCCAGTCACACATCTCTGGGTTCAGTGCACGCTCCTGATGGCCACGGGACTCACAAAGTTCACTTCAGCTGCAGGTTGGCACCGCGTGCCAAAGGGAACAAGAACGGTGCCGCAGGGATATGAAGCTTGGTCTGCTCTCCCAGCACAAGGAGGGGAGAAGAGCTGAGTGCAGGCACAGTCTGTGCCTAGCCCTAACCCCAAACCTGACCAGGGCTTCCAGTTCATGCACAAGAAGCAAGGAGACCTACTGGGCAGCAAGTCGTAGCTCAGCTGTCGGTGCAGCTTGTCCTCCAGGATCAGCAGGAGCGTGAGCTGCAGAGAGAAGAGAGAGCTCTGTACATTCATTGTAAGAGACAGTAGCAATGCTGGAAGCTGCTGGCAGGGTGAGCAGGGGGATGCTGGTCAATGCCAACATGTGGGGTGTCTTTGGGGCACAGTTTGGGTGACTCAGAGAGATGCTCTCTCTGTTAAACTGGAAAGAAGCAGAGCTAAGAGGTGTCCAAAGACGTCATGGACTGCTGTAGCTTTGCTCTTCTCTGGGCTTCTTTTGCCTCGGACAGAAAGTTGGTGGGACCCACAAAACCTGTGGGTCCTGCAGCGAACTGAGACCAAGCTGTGCCGTGCTGCAGAGAACAGATGCTGCTCGTCGCATCCTGGTGGGGCTGTGCACTCACATGCCACTGAGTCTTGTCCTCATTCAGCTCCATGTTGCATTGCATCTGCACCACCTGGAAGAGGCCAAAGTGAGCGTCAGCCTGGGCACAGCCCCTTGAACTCCCCCAGGTCTGCTTTGCTCCTGTTTTCCAAGCACAACTCTCAAAATCCCACTTAAAACACAGCTACCAGCCTGACCTTCTCCTCTGCCCGCATCTCCAGGTGCTGTCCAGAACAGCCGAGGGCTCACTGAGCCCAACAGCCGGTCACAAACTGCCATCAGCTGATGAAGGGTTGGGTGGGAGCCCTGCAGGAGGTGCATTTCAGGGGCAGCATTACATCAGGATGAATTCCTCTGCTTTATTTGTCTGGGTGGGTTTTCCCCTTGAGGCTCTGCCCAAACTCTTGGTTACTAACTCTTGGTTAGTGCTGCGCTTCAGTTCATGTCCCTGAGGGATGACAGCTTCTCAAATCAGACAACAAACCGAACCGAAATGTTAAATACTACTGAAATGGTGTGGAGTTCCTTTTGGGAACGCTGCATTGCACTGCAGCACACTGAAATTAAACAGATCAGTACGGCTTTCCCTTAATAACTCAGCTTCAAGCTCCAGCAGGGCAACGACGCCCCTTCCTCACACTGAGTAACTCCAGAGATGCTTTGTTTGTGTGCAGAACTGCCCTGCATCCTGCACACATCACTGAGAACACCGATGGTAACTGAGTGCATCGCTGCCACCTGCTCCCAGCTCTCCCTCCCCAATGCCCACGATCATCATCCTGTGGGAAGGGACATCAGGAGCTCTCTAGACCCCCCCCCCCCCTCCCCCCCAAAAGAAGGCAGTGAGATCAGAGGAGGCTGCCCAGCATCACTTTGCTGCCCTCCTTTGAGCTTGCTGCAATTTATCGGTGTCTTTCTGTGTTGTCCAGATGCAGAACAGTGGCAGCGTGGATGTTCCATTGCTGAGCATGATCCCACTCAGCCTATGCAGTTCTATTCACAGTCTGCTGCATTCAGACAGATCTTAGCAGTCAGAGGGAACGAAGGCATTTGGCTGCTGAAGAAAGCAGTGCTCTGGGGAAGCACAGGGAGTTCTCACCCTGAACTCCTGACCTGCTCCAGCACAGCAGAAAGCAGCCGTGCTCCCTCTAAGATGGACATTTCCATCGATCATCACCTCCTGTAGCTGACTTTGCGATCTTGATGCAGCTCAAATATTTGGTTCCAGAGCAGAAGGGGTGATGGCTGAGCTGTGAGCCATGCAGGACCCGCACGTCAGCGCTGCCTCCCTCATCTCTCACTCTCACTTCTCTTTCTCAACTCTTTTTCTGCTTTCCACATCTCTTCTGCTTGCTAAACAGAGTGGTACAGATGGAGGCCTCCACCAGGCTCCTCCACTTGCAGCACTGCAACCTCGCACCATGCACCCCTGAGCGCCCTCTGCCACCTTCCCCAGCTTGGCTGCTCTCTGATCTCATACCAAAGAGCTGAGCCCACAAACAAGTGTGTGGGCCACAGGAACATCCAATGGGTTGGTGTGCATGCTATAGCCACGGTCCTAGGCAAACTGCTCTGGGTGGCACAGCTTGAGGAGGGAGATTGGACACCGAATCTCAACTGTGATCCCATGTGAAAACGCACAATCAATTGTTCAAAGCTCTTAGGGTACATCGGAGTCGTGCAGAGACCATGAAGGAGTCTCCTGCCAGCCCAAGCTGAGCCACTGAATCATGGAAACAATGAGGTTGGAAAAGACCTCCAAGATCCTCACGTCCAACCCCATCCCATCCCATCCCATCCCATCCCACCCCATCCCATCCCATCCCATCCCATCCCACCATGCCCACTGACCATGTCCCCATGTGCCACGTCTCCACCATTCTGGGATGGTGACTCCCCAGCCTCCCTTTGCAGCTGTGCCACTGCATCACTGCTCTTTGCAGGTGAAATGCTTCCTAACGTCCAGCCTGAGTCACCTGCACAGGACAGCGATGCTATCTCCAAAGTTCAATCTAGGAAGCACTCTGCTCCACACAGGTTCATAATGGAGTGAGGAAACATCTCCCTGCAGTGCATTTAGCATGCCTGAAGAGGCTGGAAACTTCACTTCCACTTAGATTAATTGTAGTGAATGATAGCTCATCAACATGGGTTCTTGATTGTGCTGCAACACCTTTTGGATACGGAGGCAATCATAGAATCACGTAACCCTAGAATGGCCTGGGTTGCACAGGAGCACAGTGCTCATCTGGTTCCAAGCCCCTGCTGTGTGCAGGTCACCAACCAGCAGCCCAGGCTGCCCAGAGAACCCACAGGGTGCCATAAGGATCCATAGCGAGCCACAGTGATCCATAGGGTGCCATAGGGATCCACAGGGTGCCATAAGGATCCATAGTGAGCCACAGTGATCCATAAGGTGCCATACAGATTGATAGGGTGCCATAGGGATCCACAGGGTGCCATAAGGACCTGCAGGGTGCCTTAAGGATCCATAGTGAGCCACAG